CCCCAAAACCCCAAAACCCCAAAACCCCAAAACCCCAAAACCCCATTGTCATTAATTAAATTTGAATTTCTAAACTATAAATTTAAAATGGGAAATACCTGAGGAAGTTGCTCATTTGATAATAGAGGTTCTGAGTTTGACATGCAGAAGAAAGACCCATCTACTGCCGTATCCAATGTCCATAATAATCCTCATGTTATGAAGGAAGAGAATCCGAATGTTTTAGCTAATAATGTCAATATTAAGCCAACCGAAACTTATGAAACTAAAAAGGGAGCGGCCCCACAATATGATGCTGAAGCAAAGGAGAATAACTATATGGGGCAATATCAGGCACATGCAGTGGAGGAGACCCATAATAAAGAGGTTGCTCCTACAAAAGAGGCAATTCCAGAAAATCAGGAAATTCATGCTCAGAATGTAAACAATGAGGAGCAGGAGTATCAAGATTACTCCGAATTCGAAAATAGTTTTGAATTTTTGCAGCCTCCTCAATATGACTGTCCTGAAGTTATGCGTATTAGAGAAGAAAGTGGACCATTTAATTATGATGAAGGATACCCAGATGAGGGAGATGCACCTAAGCAGCGGGAAAAGAGGCCACTCACAAATATTGATAATGAGGCCAAATATCAAGGAGAATGGTTAGCCGGCACAGACATTAGAGATGGAAGAGGATTCCAGATCTGGCCTGATGGCTCTCTCTATGAAGGTTTCTGGGGAAATGACAGTAAAGCTAATGGTAAAGGTAGACTTATTCATGCTGATGGTGATGTCTATGAGGGTGAATGGAAGGACGATAAGGCTCATGGATATGGTGTCTACATGCATGCAGATGGTGCTAGATATGAAGGATACTGGAGTGAGGATAAACAGCACGGAAGAGGTGTTGAGCAGTGGCCAGATGGTGCTGTCTATGATGGAAATTACTTCGAAGGTGAGAAGCATGGTGAAGGATGCTTTAAGTGGAGTGATGGAAGTGTCTTCACCGGAAACTTCCACCATAATAACATCGAAGGCAAAGGAACCTACGAGTGGAACGACGGCAGATGATACGAGGGCGACTGGAAAGACAATAAAATGGACGGCCAAGGCGTATTCACATGGTCAGATGGTAGAAAGTACGAAGGTGAGTATAAAGAAGACATGAAAGAGGGATACGGAGTTTTCACCTGGCCAGACGGAAGAAGATACGAAGGATTCTGGAAGCAAGGTAAACAACACGGTGAGGGATGCTACTATACTGCAAAAGGCAAAATGAGAAGAGGACAGTGGGAGAACGGTAAAAGAGTAGCTTGGCTGAAATAAGCCTCAATAATGATAATATTTCTAAAATTTTGAATAAAGCTTTTTCACTTTGTTCAATAATGTGCTACTTTCACGGGGTTTTGGGGTTTTGGGGTTTTGGGGTTTTGGGGGTTTTGGGGTTTTGGGGTTTTGGGG